TTTTTTTGCCTCCTTATTTTCCAATATGTCCACATGTTACATTCCAGATGGTGTGAATATTACATAGGATTTGAGGTTCTCACAGCCATGGTTACGAAGATATAACGCCATGTAGTCCATTGAAAGCCAGGTGACATTTCAGGGAAACATGCCACCTCCATCTCTGAAACATTGGCTAACTCTCAACAGACTGCATGGCATTGTATCACAGAAAATAAGACTTTTCGATAGGAATATTGTTTTTTGAATTCTCCTGTTTTGTTGATTGTGGCTTGCATCTCTGCTGCCTAATGCAAGGCTCATCAGCTGATAACAATTATGAGAAGTAATGTCTGAAGCATGTAGCCAGAACACAGTTACAAGATCCATGCCCGGTATGGCTCAATTACAAACTGTGCAGAATGGGGAGCTGACCAGACTTACAAGGAAATGAATAAAGTGGGAAAGTGATAATGGCAGGTATGAAGTGAAATGGACAATGAACCTTGAATTCAATAACAAAACCACAAGGAGACTGACGATTTATTTTCTTTGGCAACAAATGGATATCTTGGGTATCAGAAAAATAGCACTAACTTCTGTAAATATCTCATCAATGTCTTTTTTGTACATACTCAGTAATAATTTATCCTCCACATTAATACATTTTACAGTCACCATACGTACATACAAGCTGAACATACACACACCAGTGGCATATAGCAAAACAGTTCCTTTGGGAGCAGTGGGGAACTGGGATTGCTCAGTTGGTGTATCAACTAGGCTAGGGTCTGGATGGCCAAGGAATTGGGATTAGATTTCCAGCAGAAGCAAGCAATTTATCTCTTTTCCATAACATTCAGACTGGCTCTGGGGCCCACCCAGCTTCCTGTCCAGTGGTTGCTGGATCACTGTTTCCTGTAAAAGTGGCAGAGGTATGAGACTGACTACAGCTCAGCTTAAGGATGGTGAAGTTATACCTCCACCCCTTCATACACCATCTTTGCATGGAATTTAATTGATTAAGTAAAGGGGTAACTTTAACTTTACCTTCAGAACAGTGGAAATTTGAAATCTGGCACTGAAATTGCTGATTTAGGATCACTGAAACTGAACACTATATGGGGTGAAAATCTTGAACTCGTGAACATTAAATGGGGGTTCCAGATAATTAGAGATGGCTCAGGCATTTAACCTTACTTTAACTATCCCTCTATTATATCTGACAGATTCAGTTTCAAAAGTAATAATCACATACTTCTTTTTATCTGAGTTACTACATTCCATTTTGCTCAGATAAGGGATACACAGGTTTAATATGGTTAGATACACCTCAACACTCATAGAGGATCCATTGCAAGTTTCAGCAAAGTGAACTGAAGCTGACAAGTCAGACAGGAAGCAAAGAGAAGAAATGAGGTAGTCATTTTGCAAATGTGGGGCATGTGCTTGAGGTTATGTTTTGATACGTGCATTGTATTTTTTTCACACTGTATTTGGCTTGGGTTCCTTACTTACAAAGTCAAACAAGAGAACTTTAACTTTTGGGCAGTTTTCTGGAAAGATATCGCCAAGACAGGATCTCTACTGGGTGGAACTGTACATCTTGTTTCCTTAATAGAGTTACAGACACACAAAGCTCAATTTTTTAAATCTTCTTTCTTTCTTCTCTTTCAATGCTCCTCTTCCTCATCTTCTTTAAGTCAGGCTACTAGCCTGTTCCTTTTCCCCCCAGAATGAGTCACTCCACCATTTATGCAGTTGGCCAGGGCTACATCTGCCTGAGGAGAGCTATCTCATACAAGCTTTAAAATTATCTCTGGTGTCAGAACAAGTTTGTTCCATTTGTCTCTCCATTCTTTTGACCATATCACTGTCACATAATATCTTGGCTTCTGATAAGGTCAAAACTCGTTTTCTGCACTGGTTTTCCCAGTGATCTCTTTTCAGTTGTTTCATCATTTGCTTGCTCTTGGGCATATCTGGTCTTGTTTCTGTTATGTAAGTCAGTATGGGCCTAATGACACTTCTGCAGTTTCTTACTTTTGGCATCTGCTGTATTTATTATTCCACACTGCATTGTTTAAACAATTTGTTTTATGTACAGCGAATTTGATTTCTGTTTGTGAAGTTCTGTTACCAGTTATCTCAGATCCTAAATAGTAACTACTCATAACCTGATGATAACACTGAAAATTAAAATGAGCACTTCCAACAGTTTCAAAAGCACATGGCTATGTGGCACTTCTCAGCAGTTTTCAATGGTGCTTTCTTCTTGAAGTATTTTTTGGCATCTGTTCTCATACTGACATCCTGTAACAGGTGGCTACAGAAAACTACATAGTGAAGAGCTTCAAAATATTATTAGAGTAATCAAATCAAGAAGGGTGAGAAATGCAGGGCATGTAGCATTCATGGACAAGATGTGCATAGGAAGTTTGGGTAGAAAACCTGAGGGACAGAGGCCACTAGGAGTACTGAGTACTGACATGAGAGAGGGGGACAACTCATAGTTGCTCCAAGCACTGATTTCTACAGGGCCTCTCAGCTAGAGCCAAAACCCTCTAGATTGCAGACCCCTTAATTCCCAATGGCAATACCCATATACAGCTAAAGGTTATATTGACATATGTCTTCTTCTCTGGGCTGCTAGCAGGGGGATATCCCAGACACCCTCTGTCATTCACTGACAGGGACACCTGGAGCTCCAGCTAAGCCCTCAGCTGGCTTCATCTCTTCCTCTCGAGGGACACTATTCACCCCCATCCATGGAATTCAATTAAGTCTTCCCTCCTGGGTCCTCATGAAAGCCTACAAGAGCTGATGATTGCTTTTACTTGGCAGCAGGGGCCAACAATTCAGACCTCGTGTGCTGGAGGAAGACCTCGTGGATTGCTGATGGCAAGATGTCTACAGTCGTGCAGTGTCATTCACCAAGTGATCCCCCCTGCCACACCTGAACATATAACCAAGTTCCAGCCGAGGCCTCAATTCATTAGAAAAGGATCTTCTCTACCAGTCTACTGAGAACAAATAGGAATTCCTAGGCATAGGTGAGGGGATAACATTAAAACAGATAGGATGCGTGAGTGTCGATTGGATTAATCTGGCCCAGGAAAGGGATTAATAGTGGGTTCTTGCAGAGTAATGAATGTTCATGTTCCATAACATGCCAGGAATTTCTTGAGTAAATGAACAACTACTAGCTTCTCAAGAAGAACTGAGCTTCGTGGAGTNTAGTGCAAGGGAGAGAAGGAGATAAATGAGTGTATGCACTACAAGATGGTTTAAATAAATCATGGACTTAAATCAGTGCAACAGGACGCTAAAATATAACATTAACATCAAATTAATTGTAGAGCACAGCCAAAGAACTGGATGCTACTAAAAACGAATCTGTGGAGACTTCAAGAAATCAAATGAATGGAAATCCTTTAGTCGTTTTGATGTACTCAATGAGATAATAGGCAATCTGCATATTCACTTAAATGATAAAGTTTTGGAAAGTTTTCACAAGCATGAATTTCTATCACTTGTGGAAACTACAGAATTTCATTCCTTAGATAACAGTCTCATGAGGACGAACATGAAACAAAATATGGTATAAAGAGGTAAGTTGCCCCTGTGCTTAACTAAGCACCATACCATGAAAGCATATGGGGCAGCTGATGTATAGATCCAGGTATTCTTACCCTTAGTACTAGTTGGAGGTCAGTGGTCAGCTTCAAGCCACAGCCACTTTACCTCCAGGTAAGGAGTCCCCAGTACCCCTTAGAGAGGATGGGTGGGCCCCAGAAACGGTCTGGACAATGTGGACATGAGAAAAATCTTGCCTCTGGACTCTGACTCTTGACTCCAACTCCTCAGTTGCTGAGCATGGAGCCAGTTGCTATACCAACATCGCTATCCCGGCTCCCACATAATACAGCATACCTTTCTTTATTCTGAGCACTTGAGTAATGACCTAACATCAAATGACTTAATCTGAATGCCAAATCAGCTCATGAAGTGGTCCCATATACACCATGTGGCAGAAATAGTGTAGTGTTTTTAAAATGGTCTGTTTTATAAAATGCAAAGCTTTTCATTTTAAACACACTCTACTTCTACAGTATTTTACACTGTTCTCCAAACAGTTTACATATTGCAAAATATGTCCTGTAGATCGCCACCATACTGTTGAAACCATGGTGAATATGCACTTAGAAACTCTGCCTTCATTCCCCAAACTGTTTCAGATGAAATTCCTGTGATTTCTTCTCACATTTTTACCTTTAGCTCATCTATGTCCACTGGCTGATTACAAGACATTTTACCTTCATATATTCCCAGGGAGAGTGTTCAGGGGCAGTTCAGTCTGGTCAACAAGGGGGCCAGGGCATATCTCTAAAATGAGAAATCATTCATAGCAGACATAAACTCCAAATTGTTCTGCAACTTGAATTTTGTAGGGGTAAAATTTCCTGTTACTGTACTGTGTCATGCACTCCTGTCAAACATATGGCAGATCCAATAGTCTCACATATGTGAACAAGATAAAGTAAGCCAAGTGGCTTTATAAGACAAAGCCTTCCTTATGACACTGCCTAACCCACAGAAAAACTGTGTTTGTTGAAAGAGCTTCCTTCCAGTTAATCTCATCTAAACCTCTTCCTTGATTCTGTAACACTTTCATTTGAACATAAAGTTCTATGACAGGAGGTTGGAGAAAACTGCATAATGAGGAGCTTCATAACTTGTACTCTTCTCCAAGTATAATTAGAATGATCTAGTCAAGGAGGATGAGGTGGGCAGGGCATGTAGCACGAATGGGGGAGAAGAGGAATGCATATAGGATATTGGTGGGAAAGCCAGAAGGAAAGAGCCCACTGGGAATACCAACAGCATAGGTGGGTGGACAATATTAAAATGGATCTTAGAGAGATAGGATGGAATGGTATGGATTTGACTGATCTGGCTCAGGAAAGGGACCAGTGGAGGTGTCTTGTGAACATGGGAATGAAACTTAGGGTTCCATAAAATGCTGGGAAATTCTTGAGTAGCTGCATATTTGGATTGTCCTCAAGAAGGGCTTAGCTCCATAAGTAAGTACAGCTTACATACACTCCCTCACTGCCCATTGCTCCATGGCAAACTGAACAGATTGGTCACACATACTCTGTCACGCTCTAGTGGAGAAACAGGTTATTAACTTTTAAAATGCTTCACTGTTTCTTCACAACTGGCATGAAGAAAAACAGTTTACAATGGTAATGCAAAAAGTATACAAGTTGACAGCACTGACAGTCCTATCCATAACTACATCAGCTGAAGTTTCCTTATCAGCCCTCAAAAGAGTAATACTGTAGACAAACATAAAATTAAGAGAGACCAAGCGGCCTTGAAAGCATTCTTATTAAAACTCGCCTGCTTCATGATCTTCAAAAGGGTTCCGTCTTCAAATTCCAAGAAACCACATCATCACAATTCAGTGCTCAGACCAGAGGAATGTATTTCACATAGAAATAAAAAAAAAGTATGGTCTCACTGAATAGTTTCTCCCACTTCTTTTTTTAACAGCAATGTGGGTTGTCTGCACTGCTGTTCTCACACTCTTCACCAACGCCCACTTTCAACACTCACCCAGACACTTTTCAGGTTCTCATAGCAGTGTTGATGAAGAGTTCTTTCTTCTGGGATACCTACATGGCTTCATAACCCAAAAGACGGAACCCTTAAACTTTTAAAGGGGCTGAAACAAGATCTTGCTTCTGGGATATCTACACAGTGCACCATCACCATCCCATTGGTTACATGGGTAAACCACTTGAACTGCTGTGGACTGAATGAGATGGAGACAATTAGTGGGAGGGGGCATACAAACTACACAACACATGAAAGCAGTAAACAGAATATCAATAAATTATATGCATATATTTAATGACACAAGATAAAACATAGGAAAAGCTCATTCCTGAGCAAATAATATCTTAGCCAGAGAAAAAATGAAAGAAAGAATCACAAGGTGAGCCAGAAGAAACTTGAGGTAAAATCCCCCCGTTCATTTAAAAAAATATAAAACTTCAGCAAATAATGGATGGGCCAGACTGCCTGATCAGGAGACACCCGCAAACCAGAACAATTTTTCAAAGGAACCACACGAAACTGCGAAGTCAACCTCCCGATGCAAGGTATCAACTACCAGTGAGCTGCTTACCACCAGGGACGGGAGATAAAGGGAGGAATGATAGGTGGAATATATGCGCACTGGATGCATGGCCCAAGCAACAGACAAGGCAGAGAGGTGGGTTCACAAGTGCATGTATCCCAGAAGATAAAACTCTTAACTTTTAAAAGCGTGAAAATAAAATCTTGTTATATTTGAGATGTCCCACGTCCTACCACTGCCTGTCTTCTGGAACACCCATTTACCAGAGATGGACCATACCATATGCCACTGATACACACACTGCCACTCTGGAATGTGCTTTATCACTCATTTTTAAGCTCAGGACACAGCGCAGACAGCAGCACTTCAAACAGATCCTGTAACATCACATTTTCTTAAATTCACTGGCAGTAGTTTTGTACAGGTGTGAAAGCTAGTCTCTTACACTAACCTCTATCGTCCAGGAATATCAGATCTGAATCTGCTAATGTTAGTAGCTGGACTTCAACCCATTTACACTGTAAGCAGTGCTGGACCTGTGTGTGCAGTGCAGCTGAACAACACAGAGCCAATAAAAGCAGAGGGAAGGACACACACTGAACGTGCTTTTAAGGACAAGTGCTTTGGAACTACCTTGTACTTAGGGAAGATGAAGCAACAGTAGAATGGGGAAAAATTACAGACTGAGTAGCTTCAAAAGTTGGATTTGGAATTCTTACAGCAGTGAGTGATGACTACTATCTTCCGGGATGTGATGCCAATGATGTTTTGGAAGAATGTATTGCCTCCATTTTCAGGGATGAAGAGTAAGCTACTATATTTCTCCAGTGAACTTGTACCAGGCTACAGGGCATTATACCCCCAGAAGACAGTATTCTTGACCTAATATTTGGGTGACAAAATCAAGGAGAGTGGGTGGGGCACGTTGCATGCATGGCTACACAACTGTAGTTGCAAGATCTCTAGAGAAGAAACCATTCAGAAGACATATTTACAGGTGGGAAGACGATATTGTTTACTCATAATTCTTACTTTATTCAATGATGCTATCAACCAGGAAGATTATAATAACATCAAATGATAGGAAGATTAGTACATGAGGTGGTATCGGGAAGTTCCTGGACTGTTATTGTTGTAACTGCTTCAGTGAAAGAAGATGAGAAGGGGAGGCCAAGGTCGCACTTCTGCAAGCCTATTGCATCAGTCTACCATGTGACACTACACTGTGATCACTCACTGTTTATATGCAAGTGCTTTCTTTGACTTGGTGTTTCGTTTTGTCTGCGATGGATGGCAAAACCGAGCAACGTGTCTGCATCAAGTTTTGTGTGAAGTTCAGTAAATCTGGTACCAAATCAATTGAAATGCTTTGTCAGGTTTTTGGAGAACATTTTTTAAGCAGGGCAGTGCTTTTTGAATGGCATTCATGTCTCAAGGGCGGCTCAGATGAAGATAACAAACGTTCAGGGTTACCAAGCACCAGCAAAATGACAGAATATGTTGAAAAAATTTGAGAATTCATCCACAAAGACCATTGTCGAACAATCCATAAGCTTGCAGACACTGCTGGGAACAGTTATGGAGTTTGCCAGATCTTAATGGAAAATTTGAATATGTGTCACATTGCTCCTTCATCACAACAATGCGCCCACCCACATGTCCCCGAAAACCACAGAGTATGTGACTAACAGCAACATGATTACCATTCTCCCTTCTCTCTACTCACTGGACTTAGCCCCCTGTGATTTCACTTTGCTTGCCAAATTGAAAATGAAACTGAAAGGATGACATTTTGAAACAAGTGTCTGACATCCAAAGGGAATCACAAGCGGCACTTGACAGCATTAAGGGCAGTGCTTTTGAACCGTGGAAAAAACAAGTACAGCTGTAGGCTTTTATGAACACATTATCAAATTCTCAGACGGTGTATAAGCAGCAAATTTCTGCATGAACATGAACTGTGCAACACTGACACAAACTTCTAAAGAATCACCATTCACCCCATAAGAGGGGAAAGGTAACATGGAACTTACGTAAAAGAGCTGCTTGTTTAATCTTGGGTCCTGAAGTGTCTCAAAGACCTTTATGGCCCCCCTCTGTGCGTTCTGCTGACCCACTAGGGTACTCAGCACTTCAGGAATGTTGCTGAGAAACTGCTGACGTGCCTCAGACCTGCAAATTAATAATTCAGTTCTTGCATCCCTCATTGGCCTCAACATTCCAAAAATATATAATTACAAAGTTAATAAAGAGCATAGACACACTTCAGACATAAACTGCCTTTTCCTTACCTTTCATTAAATATATATCATAATGAAAAAATGTTTCAAATACTCCGTGGCCTGAAGTCTGCAAGTGAACTATACTGACAGAGCGACCGCTGCTTGTCATTAAAGTTAGTCAAATAAAAGAAATAAATATTAATGAGATAAATGTTTTATTCTTTTATTGTAGCTGCGACAGGTCAGTCAGTGTGGTGAATAGGCTATAGGTTGGACAGATGAGGAATCCAGATTCATTTCCTGGCAAAAGTAAGACATGTTTCTCTTCTCCATGGCATCCAGACGAGTTGTGGGGCCCAGCAAACCTCCTCCAATGGGCGCTGAGGGTTGTTTCCCTGGGAGCAAAGCAGCTATGGGGGAAGGCAGGGGGTCGACCACTCACCTCAATATGGTGCCGAGGTTAGGAATAGTGGTGCAAAACTGCACTGCCTCAAAAAGTCTTTGCGGAATAGTGCTTCACTAAGCACAGAGATGATTCCACCTTTTTGTACGTATCTTGTATACAGCAAATCATTTCAGGGAAGTTGATATGGTGAAGAATCACACTCACTCACTCACTCACTCACTCACGCATGGAGCTGAGCCCTTCTTGATAAGTTGCCAGTTGTGCAGCTACTCAAGAACTTCCCAGCATTTTATGGAACCTGAAGGTTCATCACTGTGTTTACAAGGGCCCTCCAGTGGTCCCCATCCTGATCCAGATCAATCCAATCTATACCAACCGAACCTATCTCTCTAAGAAACATTTTAATATTGTCCACCCACCTATGTCTTGGTCTTACCACTGGTCTTCTTCCTTCTGGCTTTTCCACCAATATCCTAAATGCTTCCTCCTCTCCTCCATTCATGCTATATGCCCTGGCCATCTCATCCCNCATTTTAATATTGTCCACCCACCTATGTCTTGGTCTTACCAGTGGTCTTCTTCCTTCTGGCTTTTCCATCAATATCCTAAATGCATTCCTCCTCTCCTCCATCCATGCTACATGCCCTGGCCATCTCATCCCTATGACTTGATCATTCTAATTATACTTGGAGAATAGTACAAGTTATGAAGCTCCTCATTATGCAGAAGAATCACACTGTGGCCCAAGAAGTCAATCATTATATTAACGTGCCACTGTCAAGAACTTTTGGACGTAACTGGATGACAGTGTTTCCATACCTTGTGCTTAACTTCTCTTCTTCTGTTCTTGGTGATGGAGCCGTTGTCAGCTTTCCATTTGGCCACCAAGATTTGAGTAAGAGTTTGATGTAATAGTATATCATTGGTTCAGAGAACAACCAGCTCACTGTTTCACACACCTGCCTGGAATAGAACTTGATAAAGTGCAGCCATTCTTATATTATCTCCTCATGAGCTTTCAAATAAGGAAAGTAGTCATCTGTGAGTCTCAAATTTTCAAGACCGAATCATCAATATACACTGATCTGAATTCAAACACAGATTTTTCAGTGTCAGACTTCGCAAATTTTCAGGTGACTATTGCTTTACACAGAAGCATGCACACTACCCAAGACATTAGAAATGTAATGGTTGGCAACACTAGCATGAATGAACTTGTCAATAATATCTCTCTCTCTCCCCCCCTCCCTCAATCTGCCCATGGTGAAGGAACTGGCCTGAAACTGTTTTCTTACATATATCTCACTGCACTGTGAAAACGTTAACTGTGTCATAAATTGTGATTACGGTGAGAAAGTTGGTGTTACAGAGAAAATTCTTGTTCTTGAAACTGTTCAAAATTCTAATCTCAAAATAAAAGAAGAATGCAGTACATAATCTCACACCCAGTTTTAATTATTGTATTTCCTAGTGTACAAGGTGCAGTTCATTTCCTAACCAGATGCCCCTAAAAATCACACTGCGTCTTATATAGTGGTGCATTGTAGAACCTCATCATTAGGTGGACAATATCAAAACTGCATCACCTGTTTATTGTCCTCCCGTAAGTGATCTGTACGAATGTGATGAGAGTCTTCCTGAGCCACTTGAAGACACCGCGTAGGTCAAACACTTCCCCCAGCAGGTTGTACAGAGGCTCTGCAATCCCATCCATGCCTGACTCTCCCAACACAGGGCTCCTTCCTTCACCATCATCCAGGAGGAGTGTAACATCTTCTTCATCGCTGTCTCTGCCAGCGGAACCGGAACCAAATGCTTCTCGACCTAGCTCTGCACTGCTACCACATTAAACACTTGAGCCATTAATGTCTGCAGATCATGCAGGAATCCTACAATTATTGACTGAAAAAAGAATGTGATTTCATTGAACTCATACTGTACATTATGCAAGTTCTGAAGTTTTCATGATCGTGATTATTCATATTGTGGTCTTCTAAGTTGTGACATCCTGTAGTTTGTATGCAGATATTGACATTTTGGAGGAACATGCCATCTCTCTCTTCCTGGTCAGAGTATTCTGCATGAGAAACTTGCCCTTAAAAGGATCATCTTTCATAATTCCAGTTCCTTCCTGTGACAAAACACAATGCATCCATGGAAAGGGGCCTTTCCATACCCAACATTCCCACTGCCCCAAATTAGGCTCCATTTCCTTAACAACTTCGGTGGGTCTCAGTGGAAACCTTTCTTGCAATCTGCCTATATATAACTGAACCAATTCCTGATGCACACTCCAATCCTGAAGACGGAGGCAGGATGTTACTCCCACATGTCAGTATCTGTCAACAAGACTACACAGTGTCCCAAGCCAGCAGATAACACTCTGACCTGCACTGGATACTGTTCCAGTTATTCTTATATTTACATAAAAGAGTTCCATAAATGTGGGATTTACCATTGTCATGCAATTTCAAGTTACCATAAAAATGAATTGTCAGGCCCTAAGTTGTGTAGTAGATTATGAATGATGGGCAGATCTCTTGCTCCAGGACACAGTATCTCTTACACGAGTGGTGATAACATTTTGATGTGGATAACTGAAGTTTAGTATACCATATAAAGGGGATGGTTTGATTGACTATTTATGTCTGTTATTCATGGGAGATGGTGTTAATGTGGGTCTTGGCACATCATTCAAATAGCATGTAGGATTGGGAAGGAATATGAGAAAGAAGGGGAAGCTTACAGTATGAAAGCCTATATAAAAAATGATGCAACTTCCTGTTCAACTCTCAGTGGATGTTATACCAGCATTAGTATATGCTTTTACTATGCACACTTGCATCTGGTATATGGATGAGTAATGGTAAGTACTTTACCTCTTGAAGAGAGTTGAGAGTGAAAACTTGGATTTCTTTGGGGAAGGTGAAACTTGCTTCAGATGTGCAGAACTTGGGCTCAGGAATGTATAGAGGGCCTCACTTTGGTTCAGCCTGTCATCCTCCAGCACAAACTGTCACAAATTAAAGCGACACATAAAATTTAATCCATCCACAATCAGGGGTGTAGTCGTAAAAATAAGTATCGGGGCTGTCTGCAACATAGGCAGAGGCTGAAAGTTGTGGCACAATGGTGTAATGCAACTCTGGCCCACCCCGTATGTCAGCACCCAAATATACAGATTGGTTCACACACAGGAGGCTCCAAATTAATAAATATGTATCATACAATAATTTATCAATAAGAATAAAACTTTGCCAAACAATGTACTCTGCAATACCGATACAGTTTGTGCCATTTTCTGTCAGCCTGTCATCTCTCCCTGCCATGCCGGCTGCAGAAGTCATGAACATCTACCATCTACGTATGTACCCACCAAGCTTTATTTTCATCAGTAAATTACTGTGATTTACAGTTACTAATTTGGAACCTCGTTCAAGTGAATGATCCTGTACATATATACGAATGTGTCTTTATCTTACAGACAAAGTAGCACTATGTACTTTAGGGAACTTTCTTCAAATATGCACTAAACTGTACACCATCCTAACAGGACAGAGCTAGGAATTATATCTTACCTTTAAATACTTATGAATCTGCATTCTTGCCTTTTCAAGGGAACTTGTTCCTTTCCCAAATCGGAACTTAAGTGACTGAGAAGGAAGTTCCAGACTCTTTACACTGGGACTCATATGGCTGAAATTGAGTGAAACAGTCACTAGCAATACAATCATTAGTAATTCGATGAAGCACAGCCTTCCTTTAGAAGTTAAACTGTTGTTCAGCTACTCAAAAGAGTCCAATAATTTTATAGAACTTGAAGGTTTATAACCATGTTCATAAAAGCCCACCACTAGTCACTATTCTGAGCCAGATGAATCCAATTCATACACACCTAATCTACTTCTTTACTAACAATTTTAATATTACTCTCCCACTTACAGCTAGTGTTCCTAGTAGTCTCCTTCCTTCAGGTTTTCCTATCAATATTCTGTATACACTTCTCCTTCCTTCCATGCGTGTAGCATGTCCTGCCTATCTCTTATCTTCTTTAATCTGATGATTCTAAAAATATCTGGAAAGGAGTACAAATTATGAAGCTCCTCATTATGCAGGTTACTTCCTCTTAGGTACGAACATGCCCCTTAATTTCCTGTTTTCAGAATAAAATGATAACATTACCAAAATAATGTTCTAATCATTGATGAAGGGATCATTTTGGAGAACCAGATGTGGATAAGAGAATATCAAAAGTGATCCTAATGACATGAGATGTAAGTGTGGATTCAATCAGCTGCAGATATGGGGCAGTGGTGACAATGGTACTGACACTTTGGGATCCAAGGAAGTCAGGGAATTTATTGAGCACCTGGGTGACTACCACCTCCCTGCTCCATGACTTTAGTTCATATTTCTAACCATGACTGACTAACAGAGACCAAAGCTCCTGTCTTGGAAAAGCAAGCATAAGTCACCTGCCTCTTACTGGGACTCAAAACCCCAGTAATCCAGCCTGCAGCAAGTCAGTCTACTAAGTACTAAAAGGAAGACAGAAACTTTTGAAGTTAAACCCACACCTAAAGCATAGTTTGAGTGTGTTTAAGATAAAATATTTTAATATTTGAAATCTGTAGTTTATGGCAGATGCCAGATCAAATCACAAGAGAAATACTTTGAAAGGAACAGCACAGAATAATCACCAAATGCAAAATGCATTAAGAAAAAATTTAGTATTAAAACATTTTGATCCCACCTCATAATATACAGAACGGTTCAAACAAAGGCAGTATTGAATTAGTATTACAAATCACGCAATAATTTTCCAACGAAAACAGAACTCAGCAAGTACATACTTCAGCAGATACAAAAAATAACTGGATGACACAAGAAAATGAAATTGGTTTTGCGCTGCCTGGCGGCAGAATCTGACATGACACTCCATGTTCATAAATATTATTCCCTCACACAACATGTGGAATCACACGCTGTAGAAATGGCATGGGTCAAGCAGGCAGGCACCAGGTTGGTGTTGTCAAATTCTGTTTTCATTGGTAAAATACTGCATGATTTGCAACCCTTAACTGAGCGAATTATCCTGCGTAATGTACCTACCACAGTTCACGGTGGAGTGCCTGGAAGTCAGAGAGCTTTCTCAGGACGACCCAGCCAGTTGAAATACTATCATTATCTAACTCATCTTCCAGAATATGCACCACCAACACAAACTGCAGCATTTCCTTGTCTTCTGACAGCTGAAATAAGAGGGCATTAAGCCTATTATAAGGATCAAGGCATGCTCCAATATTTTATGAAAAACAACTAACTAAACCAACTCCACAGAGCTGAGTTTTTCTTGAGAGGCTTCCAGTCACTCAGCTACTCAAGAATTTCATAACATTTTATGGAACATTAAGGTTCATTACCATGTTCACAAGAGCCCTCCACCAGTCCCTATCCTGAGCCAGATAAATCTAGTTTATACCACCCCATTCTATTTCTCTAAGATCCACACTAATATTATTCTTCCACCCATGTCAAGGTTTTCATAGTCATCTCTTTCCTTCTGGTTTTCCCGCCAAAACCCTATATGTGATCCTCTTCTCTCCAATTTCGGACAGATATGAGACCAGAAATACAATCAAGGATTCACAAACTGCTTTCAAAGCTGTAAGCTTATCTTACTAAAGCCTAAATGAGGAACGTGAGCCAGAAGTGTATGTCTACCTCCGCTGACTGCACAACTGCTCGCCACTGCCCTAGATGTTCACCCCAGGCTTCTGTTCTGGTGAGGTGTGCTTCTAACTGCCGCTTTTCCCCTTGCAGCTGCTCCACTTCCTTCTCTAGCACTGCAAGTACTCTGGATTCTGGCTTCAGAGATGTCTTCAGTGCTTCCAGTGCCTGTTTCAAATACACTAAGAGTCATTTGGTTCTCCAGTTGGTTGCAAGCTTCCAATGTAAACGTCCCTCTATTAAATATCTGCGTGCATATATTTTCAATTTTGCTTAGATACATTCATGCATTTGTTGTTTACTTAACAACACATTCTAACTAACTAGTCCTACGATGCACAGTTCTTCTTTATGAGCTACTAGCTGCGAAGTTTTTTTCTTTTTTCTAAATTCCCTTAGTGGGGGGTGAAGTCCAACTGGGTCCACTCAGCACAGTGGCCGCTGATTGGCCTATTGTAGCCTGCCCTGGGTGATTATGATGGAGAATTTGGTGGAATGAAGATTGGAAGGGGAAACCGAAGTACTTGGAGCAAACCCGCCCCAGCGCCACTTTGTCCACCACAAATCCCACTTGACCAGACCCGGGCCGCAGTGATGGGAAGCCAGCAACTAACCGCTTGAGCTATGGTGTGGCCAGCTGTGAAGTTAGTGAACCTACAGGTTCATTACTGTGTTCTCAATGACTAGCTTACTAATTCCAAAGAACAGAGTCCTTGAGAAACTTATTACAGTCAAACTCTTATTATCTCTGCCAAGTGAAGTACTGGTATGTTCTAATTACTGGATCTCAAACAAGGAATTCGAATTTTCAGTAAATTATTTATTCAACAGATTTATATGTTTTTTGTATAAAAATAATGTTCAGAACACACAGACGTTCGACTATGCACCAGGCTCAGGGCAAACAGTAACCGGGTCATATCTCTCAACACCCAAAGGTGCAGGTCCAGTAACACGTAATATCATTTCAAAAGGATTAATTTTCACTGCAAGAAGTAAAATAATTAGATTAATTTGTAATATTTGGAGGTGCTGATTCTTTTTTGTGGCACTTTTAAGTCAATTCATAGTTACTGGAAGTTCTGATTAATGTGGGTTCCAATTTAGTTGGTCATCCATGAAATTCCCTGCATTTTATGGAACCCAAATGTAGATTAGGACATGAGATCTCAGGTTCTCATGGCGATTAGGAAGATTACTGTCTTCTGAGTTTGGTAGAAAGGTACAACAGCTTCTGAGGAAGCTGCTACCTCTGTCTTCTTCAAGTCAGAAGATCTTAATAAACACCAGAATTTCCCATTGAAATTTCAGTGAGCTGGCACATAACAAGAAAGTGTGAGGCAGGATAGCTCAGTTGATATAGCAACTGGGCTACACACTGGATGGGTGAGGAATCAGATTTTGATTCCTGGCATGGACAGGATATTTTTCTATTCTCCAAAACAACCAGACAGGCTCTAGGACTTGCCCAGCCTCCTAAAATTGCTCTGGGGGTAAAGCAGCAGGGGTACAAAACTGACCATTCACCTCCACCTAGTGCCACAGCCAAGGATGGTGGAGCTACACCTGCACTCCTCATATGTCTTCATGGCATGGTGCTTAATTAACTAAAGCCCAGGGATAACTTTAGAAAGTATTCACTGAACAAACCTGCATTTTATTGCTCAGTTTCTCTTGCAGTTGATCGAGTTTCCGCCGAGCATAATTGGACTTGTCGACAATGTGCAGGTTAGGGTTCTTGCTCCCTGAGGGTGTCTGTACATCGGCTACACATAAAGTCACATTTTCTATTAGAATAGATTAATATAATTAGGATGTATGAAGCTCGAGAAATGTTCACACATTAAATGGATTCATCCATGACAATGTCATCACATAACCTAACAAATAACAAGCTAATGGGCCTTTAGTAGATGATGATTAACAAGAAATTTACCTGAGTCATCTTTCTCTGGGATGCTGACCTCTTCCATGGCCACCTGCATCTTCTGATAAAGCTCAGAAACAAGAAACGGAGGATAGAATTTCTCTTCAAGAGTTTTAACTACTTCTTCCTGAACTTCATAGAAGACTTCAGGACCTTTGTCTCCAAGAAGAAAACCTTCCATTCTCTTCAGAACTGGCTGAAATATTCAGAACGAATTAAAAACTTTACAAACACATGCAAGAGTACTCTTTTGCAATCCAAGTTAATTTTAACGTGTCCTGTGGAAGGTGTATTATGCTTGGGACTCTAACCATCATCCAGAAATCCAAAAGGATATGTTTCTGAAACATGAGCTTTTTCTGCATCCAGGTGAAAGAACTAAGTCTAGTGACTGAAACTGACTTTCTAATGGACCCAACTGATCAGATGCCTTCCCATACTTTCACCTGAGAATAGAAATAGATCCACTTCCCAGAACATTATATTCTTTCTGAATACTAGTTGGAGGACAAAGTTCAGAGTAATCTTGTGGAATTCTGGCATGTAATGCCATGTCACTCTGCAAAAGAGTACAGAAATGAACACAATATTACTAGTACTCCTCCTCTGCTTTGACCAGCAAAGGAAATTACTAACCTTGTCTACTCTGATGTCTGGAGATGGTGTGTTTATGTACTTGTAGAATATCTCTGCTCCAAGTTGATGCCAGCTACTGCGGCTAGTTTGGCGAAGTTCCTCCACTGCGGCCCAGTAGCCAATCAGAGAAACGCTGCCAACCTGCTCCAAGAACTGCGTTAGATATCTGCGACCAATCACACTCCCCAGCACTTCAGAGAGCGTTAATATCTAGGAAAGCAAATAATATGATCACAATGCATGACTGAAATGTAAAGACTAGAGCAGTTCCCCTTGGCCCTTTTTATATGAGGCATAAATTGTGCAGTTGTGAGTGCATTTGCACAACTGATTTTAAGTAGGATTTCAGGTTCTCACATTAGTGGTTATGAAGAGTTCTACCTTCTGGGATATAACCTATTCCTTCAAAACTATGGTTGACTTTCAACAGACTACACAATGTTATATCCGTTGCTATACCGACTCCCTCTACACACAATGGTCTTGAGTAAATTCATTTTTCAACGATGTTCTTTGAAGTTTATGTAACTAATTCATTACCTTCCTGGTGATCATAGTGCTGGCCTCGACTGCTTCCTCTACAGGGTAACCCATCCAGCCCAGGAGACGTAACCGTTTCTCGCACTGGTTTTTTGCATATGTTAACTGGCCGATGTAGCGCTTCACCTGTCTTGTCTGAAATCAATAGATACAATAATTATACAATGGGTATTCTGTGTTCAAAATTTCTTTAAGGGTGTGTGTCATTGTCACCGTCATCATATAGCCATGAAGATTATTGTGTCATCATTAGGAAGCTATTAGATTGTTTTAAAAAGACAACAGAAGCCAAAGAAATCGTCATACAAATCTTGCTGAATGCACAAATCCTCTCTTCATTAAGGTTGCCAACACAAAGTACGTGGTGCAATCCAAAAGTTCCCAAAATATATTAATAAAAACTATTACATCTTACCTAGATCTTATTCTGCACCATCACCTTCAAAGTAGTCCCCTTGGGAGCGCATACACCAATCCCAGCGTTTCTGCCACTTTTCAAATGCATCCTGGAAGTCTTTCTTTGTTAGGGTGTTTAGTACTGTCTGCGTTTCCGCTTGAATTTCCTCAATTGTTTCAAATCTTCACTCCTTCAACTTGATTTTCATCTTGGGGAAGAGAAAGAAGTTGCATGGAGCTAAGTCTGGTGAGTACGGTGGGTGGGGAACAACTGCCATCTTGTTTTTAGCCATAAATTCCTGAAAAATGTAAGCCGTATGCGGTCATGCGTTGTCATGGTGGAGTACCCAGTCGCTTGTGCGCCACTTCTCTGGACGTTTTCTCCTCATGTTCCCCCTCAAACGCCTTAGAACATCGTGATAGAACTCTTTATTGACTGTCTGACCAGGAGGGATGAACTCCTTATGAACAATCCCGTCAATATCAAAAAAAGAGATCAACATGAACTTAATGTTGCTCTTGACTTGTTGAGCATTTTTTGGCCAAGGTGAAGAAGGGCTCTTCCATTGCGACGATTGCTGCTTGCTTTCAGGGTCATAGCCATAAACCCAACTTTCGTCACCAGTGACAACCTCTGAAAGAAAGTTTGGATCCTCTTGAAGCTATTGCTGAAGTTCCCTGCAGACTTCCAAGCGATGCTGCTTCTGTTCATTTTGCAGCAGTCGTGGCACAAATTTCGCTGCAATCCTCCTCATGTTCAGTTCCTCTGACAAAATTCGTTGACATGTACCATAACTTAGTCCCAAGGTGTTACAGAGGTCTTGGATGGTCAGTCTACGATCTTTCAGAATCAGATCCCTAACTTTCGCGACATTTTCTGGTGTTTTGCCGGTTGACGGCCATCCCGAACGATCGTCATCATCAGTCAATGTTCAGCCATTTTTAAAACGCTTATACCAGTTGTAAGTTTGTGTCTGGCCTAAACTGTTTTCACCAAAAGCTTGCTTCAACATTTGGTGTGTTTCTGCAGTGGTTTCCCCATGTTTGAAACAAAACTTTATACAGACACGCTGCTCTCTCAGGTCAGCCATCGCAAAACCGCAAACTCACGGAAACACAACAATGGAAATACGTTCACCAACAATAAACCCAACCACTCAGCTCGACGCTGCTTGCCACACTGATTCAAGAAGGATGTGTGAGGAGACACCTAGCGGTATTTCGATGTACTCATAACCATTCGCGCGCAAAATTCAAATTTCGGAAACTTTTGGATTGCCCCACGTATGATGGACCCCTCAGAGAGGATTAGATAAACAAGGCACACATCTGAATCAATTCATTGAATTTTCAACATTCTGAAATCCTGTATTTAGTGAATATTTTCTTCTGGTCCCAGCCAAAGCCAAATATAAATAAGGTATAATTTTCCTATATTTATTGAAGTTCCATTCAGAGTGCTCATTATGTATTTATGACGCATCCCAACACAAGATATCTAAGAAATCCTAGCTCCAATGGTTCATCTGTTATCACTGTCACATCAAAAGTGAGTTCACCATGTTATTACTTTGCATTCTCAGGTAACTTAAAAACAGCTACTGTCTGTGTTTTTAGATTTCGTCACTCTGAACAATTGATATGATAGAGTACACTAAGATATGGGTTGTAGGGTGTGCATGGGTTAGTCAAACAGAAGTTCACCCTCCCTCCTACCTACAATGTAGCTACAACCACTGCCTTGTCCCTTCTTGTCACACTTCTCCTCGCATGAAATCCAGAGGTCACATTAAAAACACAGCCTTTGAACACTCTTACAGAAGCTAATATTGTCAAACTCATTTATTAATCACCTGAAGCATATCACCCTTTCCTGTACTGAAGGAAAATACTTCTCTGCCAGGATCCATCCTGATAGACTTTTTCCAATTATGGTTTGTTGTGGCCTGCATTATTTCAGTAACAATGTTATACCTGAAGGGGGAACAAACGAAATAATTAAACATGATAAAAAATTTAGGATTGTAACTTCATGTCAGCATCCACAAATAAATTATTTCATTTATAAGCCACAACTGTGAATGCACGTACCTGATATGCTTCAATACTTCGGTATCATTGCAACTTTTGATCGTTTCTATAAAATCTTCAAAATTTGCAGCGTACACATATGCCTTCTTGCTGAGAGCCTCTGACTGTGGCTGGTGCTGAATGTATGTGAGAATTTTCTGATTGATGGAGTCTGGATCAGTCAGCATTTCAATGACTGGATAGAACACTGAAACCATATTTATATTTATAAAAACCTGTTAACATGGCTCTTATAAAGGGAAACAATGTAACTTTCAAGAAATGTGTATGACAATTATGAGAAGTATTGGGGGAAAAAAAGGATGGTTAGAATCATAAATTAAATCTGTAGAGAACAAAAAGGAATTCAGACTTTGTTAATGGCATTAGAAGAGACACAATTACAAAGGACTGGCCATATAATAGAAATGTTATTCTGTTGAAGAGTATCTTGATAGGAATAATAAAGTTGATCTTGGGGTATCCCAGTGATTATAGCTTTGTATTTTAGTTTGCATTCATTAGCTTCTTATATATACACCGTATGTCCAAAAAGTATCCGACTTTATTTTTCTCCGCTGTAAGTAATGGCCATGGAGGAAAATAGACTGAGGGTGTTTGAGAACAGGGCGTTGAGAAGAATATTTGGACCAAAGAGAGATGAACTGACAGGAGGTTGGAGAAAACTGCATAATGAGGAGCTTCATAACTTGTACTCTTCTCCAAGTATAATTAGAATGATAAAGTCAAGGAGGATGAGGTGAGCAGGTCATGTGGCATGAATGGGGA